TGATTAATTAATAGAATGCCGTTATTGAATTTAAAAATATATTGAAAAAGAAATCTCGATAACTTCAACAATTATCTGAAATCGAATCACTGACCGGAACCGTGATTTCGATTCCAGCTCCAATTTAGTTCCAAAACATAAAAGTGAACTGTGGAGTCTGTGATTTATGAAAGTTCGATTCTGATTTGAGATCGGTCGAATATTAACTATGTTTATTGCTGCAATCTAGAAGAATACTTGTGTCATCTCATTAAGGTTAGAATAAGTTCGTGTGAAATGTGTCGTGTGAATCTTTACTTTCAACAGTCTGTTCAAAATACATGCCACTCACTTTTATGTGAAAGAAACCCAGAACGAGCATTACGAAGACCAGAAACAGCCGTATTTTTGTCGTCCCCAGCAATAACTGCCCTGTTTACCGTCGTATACGTCCGTAAATCCGCCGACACTCGGCAGTGATTGCGGTAGCTTTGGCCGAGATTACGGCCACCTGACTAGTATAAAATCCACACACCCAATGTGGTTCATTCGATTTCATCACTGCATCCATCTCGTACTACAAGGAATACAACCAGCACACTTCAGGTCCATCGCTCCGTTAAAAGCGACGCTGGTACCGACCAACCGTATTGCAAGACAGCTTTTCACTCTTGTTATACAGACAGCAAATGGTCATGTTCGAGCCGATCCTAGGGTCATCGAGGACGCTTTGAAAGGAGCCGTATCAAGGGTGAAAGAAAGATCCAGAATATTTGTGAATGCCTTTTCTCACTTATTGCTAGGATACCCTGCTACAGTAACCCTGGAAGAGCTAAATGAATCCAAGAATGGTAGTCCTCACGAACCAAAAAACAGCGTTTATATAATACCCGTTACCGTCTCCGAGGAACGGTAGTCGCACCCGTTGATAATTCGGTGACGCTTTTCGATTCCATTATATGAAATACGATAGTACTCAGGTTTTTGTATTCTTTAAAAATCAAATGTTGATACGAGAATTGCTTTACATCATTGCTTCGATAGTTTGTTTGAAAAGCTTGAGCTTAAGAAAGGGTCCTGGATTTCGTCCGTTAGTACTTAGCTTTTTATATGGTCACCTGATCAAAGGAACGTTTCTTTAGGGTGGACAAATATACTATTTTATTTTATTTATAGACCCTTACCGTTACCGGTGTAGGGTGAGAAACATAATACAAAAAAGAAAAAAAATAATAGAGAAAAAAAAAAAGAAAAGAGTCTATTGTCTTTATTCGACGAGCACCACGTTAATCGCTACTAGAAATGAGCTAAGACTTCCATCAGACTATTATCCTCTGATGACCACAGTTTAGATAATAATCATCATACCATTCTCAGTTCAATTTTAGCAGGTGTAAAACCATCAATTTGTTCAGATGATCCTGTTACTTTTGCACCACATTTTTGCTGCTACACAAGATTTCACATGATTTGTGATTCCTTGTGACTTGAAATTCAGTTTACAGCCTGGGCATTTGTATTGATTGTTCTGTTTGACCAATATTTCTGTAACTTTACGTTTTGGTGAATCTGTCAATGCAGCTAGATCTATTTTTCTTCTCTGAGCTGCTCGTTTTTTATATTGATAAACAATATCTTTAATGTTTGTAGATACTGGCTTTACATATACATTCTTATTAATTATTTCACGCCATTTTTTTCTGTCAAGCGTCAATCTTCGCCAGTTTTGTATGTGTAATTCATTCATATCTTTTAGAATATTGTCCTCCCACCGTCTACATCTTCCTATATTACTAGGTCGTTTTTCATCATGAAAATGTGAAAACATCGCTTTTTTGATTAAGGATGGTGAACCATCAGAATTAAGAGCCCGATTTACGTGTCCAAACCATCTCAATCTATTTCTGCGTATGATATTTCCAATCGGTGGTTGTCCTGTAATATCTAGTAGTGTTTCATTAGACATTCTATCAGGTAAGTTTACTCCTATGATTGTCCGTAAACATTTATTATAGAAGGTAGTAATTCGTTGTTCCTGTCTTATAGTAAGAGACCATGTTTCACTACCGTAGAGTAAAACTGGTAGTACACATACTCTAAAGATTCGAAGCCGTGCTGTGATAGAAACTGACTTCCTATGCCATATGACATAACGTAGCATGTTAAAAGCTTTAGAAGCCTTTGCTAGTCGTACAGATATTTCTGTATCGTGTTGCTGATCTTTCGTGATAGTGCAACCTAAGTATGTGAAAGAATCAGCTGTTTCAATTTTTTCATTTCTTATATTGATGTCTATATCATCATCATAGTTAATATCTTGTCCTATTAAAACCTTTCTATGTTGATCTTCTTTGAGTTGTTTTAGTGACATCACACAGGTTTTTTTAATGTTCATAGTCAGACCATATAGTTGTGTTACTTTTTCAAAACAACTAATGAATTTTTCTAGATCAGAGATCGTTTCGCACATTACAACTAGATCATCTGCATATAATAGTGCCAAAATGTGAAAGTCATCATGCCTTTCGTTTCTTCCGTGGAAGAAATCATTACTACCGTAAGAGAATTTTACTCCTGAAATGGCAGCTTCATTAATGACTTTTCTTATGATGTAGTCGAATAGAATATTGAATAGTATTGGAGAAGGAATGCCTCCTTGCATTACTCCTGTATTCATTTCGAAATTATCCGACATTTCACCATTGACTTTGACTTTTGCTATAGAGTTTTTGTATAGCATTTTAAATAAGTTGACTAGTTTCACGGTAATGCCGTAATTGAGGCATACTTTCCATAAGAGTTCACGGTTAACCGAGTCGTAAGCCTTTGTGATATCTATGAAGCACATAAATAGTGGCTTATTAAACTCTCTTCTTTTTTCCATTGTCATTTTTAGAGTGAATATTTGGTCGATAGTTGATCTATTTGATCTAAAACCAGATTGTATCTCTAAAAGTTGACAGTTTATTAGATCTTGAATACGATTCAGTATAATACGTGAGAATATTTTACTGGTTATATTCAATAAAGCGATACCTCTGTAATTGTCGCATATTCTCCTATCGCCTTTATTTTTGTACAGTTTAATTAGAGTTGTCATGTTTCATTCCTTCGCCATCTGCTCGTTTTCCCATACATCAGTGAAGAAGCTGAAAAGCCATTGTATTACTGGTTCACCACCCGCTTTTAAAATATCAGCTGTGATTTCATCACTACCGGGAGCTTTTCTTGATTTCATTTGTTTTAATGCTTTCCTCACCTCTTCAATAGAGATAGGTGCATTTTGTCTACGCTCTTCAGTTGTTGAAAGAGTCGGTATTTGAATTTGATCAATTAAATCTTGATCAATTGATGTTGTTACATTGAGAGTTTCGTGAAAATATTCTCGCCAACGTTTCAAGGTATCTTTTGAATTTACCAGTAATTTACCACTTTTATCTTGTACTGGCATATTTTCGTCTCTTTTACTTCCACCTCTGAGACGTCTTATAATGGAAAAAGCCGTTACGAGATCGTTGTTTTTGACGGATTTTTCTATATCCTCACATACTTCGTCCCAATATTCTATCTGACGATGTTCGGTCACTATTTTGGCTATTTTACGTAGGCGTTTATAGTTTTTATGATATTTAGACTCTAATTTAGAGCCACGATTATTTTGCCATTCGATGAAAGCTTTTGATTTTTCATCAAGAACTTTTAGAATGTCATTTGTCAACCATTCTTTCCTTTTTCGATTTGTATTCTTGTCTATTGGAAAATGATGTTTAGCTGTTTCCTTTATTTGTGACAAAAATAGTTCATATTTCTTATCAAGACTGATTGTGGTATCATCTGAAGTATTAAAGATGTCCTGAAGATCTTTTTGAAATGCTGCTAGTAACTTGTCATCTTTTAGCTTATTACTATCAACATTAAATTTCTTCTGATTGACATTTTTTCTTCTACTCTTTAGGTGAATCCTAATCTTGACACGCATTAGGTGATGGTCAGTTCCTATAGCACCTGCTGCCCTTCTAAGCATGCGAACATTTTCGGCACCTGGCCTAAACTTTTTATTTATAAGTGTGTAGTCGATCATGTGCCATTTTTTTGTTCGTGGATGCATCCATGATATTTGATGCATTAGTTTATGCTTGAAAAACGTGTTCGAGATTATGATATTATTCATTTCACAAAAGTCGATGAGTCTCGTTCCATTTTCGTTTTCTATATCCACTGTAAATGGTCCGACACCGTTTCTTATTACACGTTGTTGTTGTTTTTGTTGGTCCTGGCCAACCCGAGCATTTAGATCACCCATTATAATGATCATATCTTTTGTAGATACATCTTTTAATGTATCTTGTAAATCATTATAGAATTTATCACATTCATCACCCATTTGTTTCGTCAGAGGATTGATAGGAGAGTAGACTGCAATTACAGTAATGTGAATTGGTGCACAATACAATCGAATTTTAATAATTCGTTCGCTTATTGGTACCCATTCGCTCCCTGAATCCTTCCAAACCTTTGTGGCAGTCTGATCCAAGCAGATTGCCACGCCATGAGCTTTTCGTGTTTTCGTTTCATGTGGTGCACCTGAATAGATCATCGTGTAGTCGCTTACTGATTTTATACCGGAATCGTACATACACGTTTCACTTAGTGCAGCTATTTGAATTCGATACTTTTTTAATTGCTTAATTACTATTTCTTTTTTTGATTGTTTTACACAGGATCTAACGTTCCATCCGCCAAAGAAGACATGATTTTGTGCATTTACGCACCGATAATGTTTCTTTTCGTTAGCAATAATAGTTTTGTGTCCAGCTAGAGGTTGCTAGCCTCATGACTAGACGAGTGGCTACCAGCAGCCCAGGGTCGCCTCCTATAACTATCCAAAGAAGGTCATAGGTCCCTGTGAAAGTTAAGAAACTTTCCTGGCAGACGGCAAATATACTAATCGGTAACACTATGTGTGTATCGTATACTGATGTGGTTTATTATGTTTATGGATAGAATTGCTCAGTTGTTAAGACGGCCGTTCACAGGCGACGTCTACCACTCTCGTTTTTGTCGACCGTAAGATAGCGTAGTACTTCCTCTACAGTTGTCGTGAATGGAAACAGGATACGGTTACCATAGTCCACCGTTTTTGGTTTGTGTGCGACTCCGGTTGACTCTGAGCAGATATTTCTCCTTGTCAACGTATATAATTGCCGTGTTGCTACGCTAACCGTTTACGGCGATATTATACGCCCACTTGTTTACAGGGGCCGAAATATACTGTACAGCGTTGTATACGGTGGTAATAAATGATCACCGTAAGCGACTGACTTGCACGACTTGAAACGGCATATTCTGGCTACAGTATACGATCAGCGTTCAGTCACGACAGTGGTTTACGGTGAACTTTTACAGGCACTGTTTACGACGCGCGTTATACGCTGTAAATAACCGTTTACAGTTGTTGTAAATGGCTATCGTATACAGTGACCCTATTTCGCCGTATTCGATTGATATATGGCTGTTTACGGCCGAGGCTCATTTAACTGGGAATAGCATTCAAGTACATTCGTCTATGGTTTCAAATTTCATGAAATAACAAACCTTGGCTACAAAGAATGTCTCGTAGCGGTAGATAATTGTCTAGTTTGAGACTTCCTAAATCAAACAGTATATATTTTGCTGTTATAAGCAAACGAAAAACCTCAAACCAAAGGATTAGAAAGCCATACTTGACTGTATGGAAAATGTAAAAAGATTTGCTAGACTATTATTTGATGATCAAATGCTTTGCATTCTTTCAGTCCATGGTATCATTCTCTATGTTGAATAATGAATCATTAACATTGATCTCAAGCAGCACCCGACTTCCAACTGCAAAGAAAGAAATATCAGGGAAGAGTCGCAAACCTACTGCACTCGATTTCGATAAAATTGAGAAAATCAATAATAAAAAGAGAAAAAGAAGGTAATTAATTCTCCAAGTGATTATGTGTCGTTTTTCAATTTGGGTTAGTTTCAATATAATAGACGTGGAAAATACTTCAATAGCCGTTGCTGTTGTTACACTATAATTTGTTCACTGTGTTCGATTATTTTGGCGGGTATCATTGCAATAGTTATCTTAGGTATGTATTGAAGGAGGAAGTCAGTCAATAGAATCAATCAAATAGTGCCATTTCATAAATAATAATCATGACCATCTGCACTCTTTATTTTATATGCATTGATACATTTTCGAGATCAATAATTCGCCAATTATAGGTAGTTTATAAAGGTTTTTCGAAAACATTTGCGGATTGTTTTCGCTTATGAGCGCAACAATGGTTGAACTTCATCAGAGTGAAGTAGTTTGATTATAGTAGAATGAAATACAATGCTACAATGGGACTTCAAATTTTCTTCCTACATGTGCTAGCACGACTCTGATAGCTTTCAAAAAGATGATTCATATGAACGTAAGCATGACTCAGTGCTGAAAATCCATTTTTCAATATTATAATGATTACCTTTCTTTTTTCAGTCAAGCAAGTGTACGTACACGCGTTTTCGTACCTCTTCGGTTTTCATTAATAGAGATACGAGCTATTCTAAATTTACAAAATCCAGTGGATAGCAAAAGCATAAAAAAACGTTTTCCTTGTCCTAAATATTATAGATTCTTCCATAGTCTTCTAATAACTTTGAAAATGGGATTCTCATGTTAGTACAGAGCTTCTTTTACTCCCTCATTAATTATGTCTTAGCAGTAATCGATTCGAAACATTTCATATACAATATTCCAAGTGAGAGCTTTGCGCGATACTGCAAAGGATGTGCAAGGAAGTATTAAAAAATACTGAAATTCGAAGATAATAAATAAAATATTGTACGCCACCTCATTTGAGAGGTAAGGCATCTCACTTGATAATTCGAAGTAATGTAGCATTATAAGATCTTGTCAGCTTGTTCAAATCATTTTCACAATTCAAACTAATGGAATACTATTAAGACAATTTTTATTACGAGGAAAGATATAGGTTTAGACCATGATCGGCAAATTCTTCTTTCTTAGATTTTCATTACAATCGCAAAATGTCCACACTTCATTATTTTAATTTTCACATGCAGCCCAATTTCATGAATCAACACTTTCAGCGAACTCTCGTGTTGTTAAACGAATAGAACCGAAACTTTCAAAAGTTTTATAATGCGTACTTGTCAAGTGTCACCATTGTTATTGTTTAAATTCGTTATGTTTGTAATGATATAAACAGGATTTCCTCCTTCCTTTCATAGCAACACAGTCACATCCAACCGCAACTGGAACCACTACTGGTAAATTGAGAGATGAAAATTAGTGAAAATTAAATGAAAAATTAATTCTGAGATTTTTAGGGACAACAGCAATGACCACTACTTCAAGTTTGAATTTGACTTGACATTTTCATAGTTTATTTATTATCTCTGTCTTCTATTCAAGCTTCAATGACAGATACAACAATGACTAGTACTACGATGACGAGTAGTACAACGACTAGTAGTACAACTACTTCGACAACTACCAGTACAACCACAACAACAGGTATTATCTGTTGAGTGCATATAGAAGTATTAATTTAAGATAGGGTGTCTCTCTACTTATAAATCAATACAAAATCTGCAGAGACAGGCTCTAATTGATCATGTTTCTCATCATTTCGAACCGGGTGACTTATCTGTACCCTATGATTCTTGACTTCTTCATTTTTGGTGAACACTTTCAGTCAAGACGTACGAGATTTCAATTTTTTAAAACGATTG